GGCTTGCTGGCTTACCGGCTTCCAGACTGCTGAGAAGCTGCAAGCCCCAGAGGCTCAGGGAGAGATTCTGCCTCAAAGGAATTAGTGAGTGAAGTGTGACAGAGATCATCTTCCGGCCTCTGTGTTCATGCACAGGAGCTCTCACCTGTGCACACATGTGGGAGTGTGTGCATACATATACATCAACAAAATAAATCTCTAAAAAATATTTCACAAGCCTAGAACACACCTTTAATCCCAGCACTGGGGAAGCAGAGACAAGCAGATCTCTGTGAGTTCTAGGCCAGCCTGACTTACATAGTGAGTTGCAGGCCATCCAGGACAGTGAGACCCTGTCTCAAGAAATAAAAACAAGCAACAAACAAGACAAACAATAGCAAAATATCACAGGGTTATAGGCAGGATTAAGTAAGAGCTATGTACAAAACACTATAGAAACTATTAGGGTTGAAGGACTTAACATCTACAAAGATACCCCCTACTGAGCCATAAAAAGTGCTCTAGGGGGACCTTCTGAAAATTTTTTTTTTTTTTTTTTTTTTTTTTTTTTTGCCCCTGACACTCAGGAAAGAAGTGGTATTTGGTTAACACACTAAGATAAATAAGGGACACTCAGATCAGGAAGCCAGTTTGGGTTCAGGCAGGGTTTCTCAATCCCAGAAGCAGTTGCATTAGCCAGTCTGGTTAATTATCTGTAGAGATATTTACCCACTTATTACAAGACATCTAGTGTATCCTGGTACCAGCACCAATGCCAGCAAGAGTGACTTATTCCTCTTCTCCAAAAGTTCTGACAACTAAAAAGGTCTTCAGGGAGCAAAATGGCCTCCATCTGGAAACTACTGGACTTAAAGGAGTGAAACTACTGGACTTAAAGCCTCTGGGGCTTGCAGCTTCTCAGCACATCTTAACTCTGTGAGCTGTTATGATTGTTTCTCTGAGTGTTTAACACAGCTCCTAAGCAGCTTCCTGACATTAACAAAATGGGTCCCTTGCCAGGTGTGATGGTGTTTGTAATCCCAGCACTCAAGAAGCAAGAAGAGGATAGGCGTTGGTGGCGCAAGCCTTTAGTCCCAGCACTTGGAAGGCAGAGGCAGGTGGATTTCTGTGAGTTTGAGGCCAGCCTGGTCTACAGAGCAAGTTCCATGACAGGCTCCAAAGCAATACAGAGAAACCCTGTCTCAAAACAAAGAAACAAACAAAAAATGGCAAGAAGAGCACTCAAGAAGCCAGACAAGCCTGGTCTACAGAGTAAGACCATTTCAAACGACAAAGAGAGCTGGGGAGATTGCTCAGTCAGTAAAAATAAAACCGCTTGCTGCAAGCATGAGAGCCTGAGTTCAGATCACTAGTGCTCATGCAAAAAGCCTGGCATAGTAGCTGTGCTGTGGAGGCAGGGAGACAGGATGACCCCTGGGGTTTGCTGGCCAGCCAGTCAATGGGTGAGCTCCAGGTTCAGGAGAGACCCTGTCTCAAAAAATAAGGTGGAGAAATGATTAAAGAAGACACCTGCCATTGCCCTCTGGTCTAAAAGTGCACACGCATTCCTCTAATCTATGTATTCTATATAGCCTCATATCAAAGCATTTCTGAACACTAAACCCTAACTAGAAATGACAAGGGCAGGTATGATTCTAAACTCTCAAGAAATACTTCCATTATCTAATACTTTCAGCTCTCAGAAAAAGAAGACATCTAAGAAGTAACCAAGAAACAGGTGACTGGGTTGGAGAGAATGGCTCAGCAGTTACGAGTATGCACTGATCTTCTAATGTACCACAGTTCAGTTCCCAGCACTCATATGAAGCAGCTTACAACTGCCTTTAACTCTAGTTCCAGGGATCCAACACCCTCTTCCGGCTTCTACTAGCAAGCACTGACGGAGCATACATTCACACAGAGACTGTCCTGGTTACTCTTTGTCCATTTAAAACAATCTAGAGAAACCTCAATTGAGAAAATGCCTCGTTCAGATCGGCCTGTGAGCACTGACGTGGGAGGGCACAACCTTCTATGTGGACAGGTGATCCTGGGTGGTAGAAGACAGCAGGCTGAGCAAGCAGTGAGGAGCAAGGCTCAACAGCAACGTTCTTCCATGGCCCCCTCTTCAGTTCTGCCCTCACATCCCTTCATGATGAACTACAACTGCAAGCTGAAATAAACCCTTCCTTTTCCATTTGCTTTTTGTCATGGTGTTTTATCACAGTAATAGAAAGCAAACTAACACACGCACATAAACAAAATAATAAGAAATCTTAAAAAGGAATAGGATGTCATTTTCCCAAGCCCAACCCAACTGCCCCCATCCAGAAAATGGACTTACCAAAGAGAAAACGAAAGACCGCCAGGTTTGCGGGGTCTGTTGGTCGGTTAAGTAGGGTCACGAATCTCCGCCAGCTAGATAAGTCTGTCCATTCAAACCCCAAAAGTTTCTCCATGCGGCTTCCCTGGCTGAGCCCTGATGTCCGTGCGGACTTGTTTTTCTGTACTTTATCTACAACCAAGAAATGGGGGAAGCCGGGCGTTGGTGGCGCATGCCTTTAATCCCAGCACTCGGGAGGCAGAGACAGGCGGATCGCTGTGAGTTCAAGGCCAGCCTGGCCTCCAGGGAGGGGGCCAGTATAGGCTCCAAAGCTACACAGAGAAACCCTGTCCAGAAAAACCAAAAAAAAAAAAAGAAAGAAAGAAAAAGAAAAAAAAGAAATGGGGGAAATGTGTGCGTAAGAAAACCAAAGTCCCCACAACGTCAGGGTCTCCACCCGCTGGCTCCTCCCACTGATCAGACTACTGCAAGCTTCTGGGTTGCAGGCCCTCCAACTCTCTCAGTGTGTCCCTTCCTCACTAGGACCACATGCCTCTCGCCAACCGTCAGCCAGCCTACCTGAGGCGGCAGCGGCCCGTGCAGAGCCACGGTGCACGCCCATGACTACAGGAAGAGACGCGCCTCTGCAGCTGGGACTGAGCAAGTGGAACCCCAAGACTTGGCAGTCTTAGGCTCCGCCTCCTCGACACGTCAACACTCGCGCGGCAG